CCTGAGTTTTATATATATAGAGAGTATACCTAGAGAGGGTTTCAGGGATCAACGCGCCTGCGGCCCAGTCTGTGATCAGGCTTCGCGGTGGATCAGGGCCTGATCAACCAGGCTGTAACTGCTGGCCACACGTAGTAGACTGACACACGAACCACAGCCCGGCTGGTCAGGTACTGACTTCAGGTGTCTGTCCAACACCTTCTTGAAGACAGACAGGGGTCAACTGATAATCCCCCTTATGTATGCTGGGAGGCAGAACAGTCTTGGGCCCCTGACACTTATTGTGTTATCTCTTGGCGAGCCCATGGCGCCTCTGCTTTTCATTGGGAGGATGTTGAGCCGCCTGCCGAGTCCTTTGCTTTCGTAAGGAGTGATTTTCGTGTGCAAATTTGATATTAATCCCTCTACAATTTTCCAGGTGTATATTATCATGTACCTTTCCCTCATGCGTTCCAGGGAGTACAAGTCAATAAACTTCAACCGTTCACAGTAATTCAAGTGTTGTATCGTACTTATGTGCGCCGTGTAGGCTCTCTGTACACTCTTTAGGTCAGCAATTTCACCTGCTTTGAAAGGCGCCAATAGTGTACAGCAATATTCCAGCCTAGAGACAAGTGATTTAAAGAGAATCATCATGGGCTTTGCTTCCCTAGTTTTGAAGGTTCTCATTATCCGTCCCATCATTTATCTAGCAGATGTGGTGGATACATTGTTGTGAAGTTTGAAAGTGAGATCCTTTTACATTATCACTCCCAGGTCCTTCACATTAATTTAGTTCCATTGTGTGGTTGGAATTTATTTTATACTCCGATACAGTTTTAATTTCCTCAAGTTTTCCATATGGAAGTAATTGAAATTTCTCTTCACTGAACTTCATATTCTTTTCTGCGGCTCAGTTAAAGATTTAGTTGATGTCCGCCTGGAGTTTTACAGTGTCTTCGATGTACGACATTGTCAGGCAAATTCTGGTGTCATCCGCAAAGGAAGACACGCTGCTGTGTCAGATATGAGGATGAGAAATAGGATAGGAGCGAGTACTGTGCCTTGTGGAACAGAGCTTTTCACTGTGGCCACTTCAGACTTTACTCTGTTTACTATTACTCTTTGTGTTCTGCTTGTTAGGAAGCTATAGATCCATCTGCCAACTTTTCATGTTATTCCTTTTTCACGCATTTTGTGAGTGTTGCACCATGGTCACCCTTGTCGAAGGTTTTCGCAAACTCTTTGTATACTACATCCGCATTCTGTTTATCCTCTATTGCATCCAAGACCTTGTCATAGTGGTCCAGTAGTTGGGACAGGCAGGAGAGGCCTGCTCTAAACCCATGTTGCCCTGGGTTGTGTGACTGATGGGTATCTAGATAGAGAACGATCTTGCTTTTTAGAACCTTTTCAAAGAATTTTATGATATGGGATGTTAGCGCTATCCGTCTGTAATTCTGTTTGAAGGGTAGAGGTCCAGTTATTGACGTGTGCTCCAATTTCTTTATGAGAGCCATCACTCTGTATAACAACAGCATACTTTCCTGCATCCTTCCTAAAGCTAAACTTATCCAATTAGAATCCATTTCGAGTTCTTGAAGGGATATTCTCTGAACTTTATTTATATCTCCTTCATTTATTCCCATTTTCAACTTACACACTTCCGTCATGACTCTTCTCATTCTACGGCTTACAAGAGAATGTATGAAAGATTTCTTATGCAGTGAATTAATTTTGCTATTCTCTAAATGTTCTCTAATGAATTTATATCCATTCTGCAGTATGGAGACTAAGACTGAGCTGCATAATCTAAGTAATGCCTTACTAATGATGCGTAGAGCTGTAGTATAACCTCGAGACCCCTGATGCTTATACTTGATATAAATCTAGGTAATCTGTTTGCCTTAAGTACGCTTAGGGATAGCTGTTTTGGCTTCAGGTTTCTGCTTACCATAACTCACAAGTCCTTTTCACATTCTGTACGATCAAGTTCCATATCACTTAATTTATAGGTGCTAGGATTGTTTACCTTCCCAAGCTTAAGGACTTCGCACTTATTTATACTGAACTGAATGCTGACTACGACAAAAGCTTGTATAAATATTTCTTAAAGTTCACTGGCATCTTCCTCTAAATCAGTTATTCTGCCTACTTTTGTGTCGTCAGCTAATTTGCTCATATCACTTGCTATTCTGTCATCAAGGCCATTAATGAATATTATGAACAACAATGGGCCTAAAACTGAGCCTTATGGAATGCCACTTGTGACTTAACACCGCTCAGATTTCAGCCCACTTATGCACACTGCTTCCTGCTGGTGACAATACTTTTCTCCCAATACCATAAGCTGCCATTTTTCTTAACAGCAGTTTGAGTGGTACTCTCTCAAAGATTTTACTGAAATCCAAATATATATCGTATTCTTTATCATGATCAACTTCCTCAAATGCTTTACTGAATAAGGTTATTAAATTAGTCAGGCAGGAACGGCCCCTCTTGAAATCACGTTGAATATAAATCAAATGATGCTCTCAAGATGGCCAGAAACAACAACAGAAATAACAACACTACTGCTACCCTCAGCAACAGCAACGATATCATCAGCAGCAATAGCAACGTTACACCACCAACAACAGCAACATTACCACAAGCAACAGCAAAGCTACCACTAGAAACAACAGCAACGTTACCACCAGCAACAACAATAGCAACGTTATTACCAGCAACAACAACAGCAACGTTATCACCAGCAGCAACAACAGCAACGTTATCACCAGCAACAGCAACGTTATCACCAGCAACAGCAACGTTATCACAAGCAACAACGTTACCACCAGTAACAGCAACGCTATCACCAGCAACAACAACAGCAATGTTATTACCAGCAACAATGTTATCACCAGCAACAGCAAAGTTATCACCAGCAACAGCAACCTTATCACCAGCAACAACAACAACGTTATTACCAGCAGCAACGTTATCAACAGCAACAACAACAGCAACGTTATCACCAGCAACAACAACAACAACGTTATCACCAGCAACAACGGTATCGCCAGCAACAACAACAGCAACGTTATTACCAGTAACAACGTTATCACCAGCAACAACAATAGCAAAGTTATCACCAGCAACAACAATAGCAAAGTTATCACCAGCAACAGCAACGTTACCACCAACAACAACGTTAACACCAGGAACGCCACCAAAGCCGCTGCCAGTAGCAACAACTGGAGCAGCATAAATAAAGCGGTTATAAATAGGCTACGGAGGATTTCCTACCACGAAAGAACTCACAGGAATGAATTCAACTTAGATCAATTTAGATTTACAGATGTAGGAAAGTAGATGTGTCGCTGAGAGGGCCAGTCTGCTAAATAAGATCATATGAAGCTAAAACCTTGGACTACAGAAGGACCTACCAAGTATGGGTCAGTTCGCCTGCTGTAGCCTTCCTTCAGATTTAAGATAAGATAAGATTTCGTTCGGATTTTTAACCCCGGAGGGTTAGCCACCCAGGATAACCCAAGAAAGTCAGTGCGTCATCGAGGACTGTCTAACTTATTTCCATTGGGGTCCTTAATCTTGTCCCCCAGGATGCGACCCACACCAGTCGACTAACACCCAGGTACCTATTTGCTGCTAGGTGAACAGGACAATAGGTGTAAGGAAACGTGTCGAAATGTTTCCACCCGCCGGGAATCGAACCCGGGCCCTCCGTGTGTGAAGCGGGAGCTTTAGCCACCAGGCCACCAGTGTTATGTTTATATTTAGCAACAGTAACAGCAGCAGCATCAACAGCACTCTACTTGCAACAATAGCAACACTGCCACTTGCAATAACACAGCCACTTCCAACATCACTGCCAGTACCAACATTACCAGGTACAAAATCAACCACAATAACACCATCAACCACAGAATCGCCAAGAACGCCAACCACAGAAACATCACCAACGCCAACCAAAGCAACACCACCATCAACCACAGCATGGCCACCAACGCCAACCACAGTAACACCAACCACAGCATCGCCACCAACGCCAACCACAGTAACACCAACGCCCACCACAACACCACCAACCACAGCAGCACCGACAATGCCAACCACAAGAACAACACTACACCAATGCCAACCACACGAAAACCATCCACAGCACTAACACCACCAGAAACAACAGCAGCAGCAGGGACACCCCTAATACCAACAGCAGGAGCACACCGCCAACACTAACAGCTGCAAATATAGTACCATCGCCACAAGAAACACCAACTGTAGCAGCAACACTAACAACAGCAGACAACATTACAAACACCATCACCAGAAATACCACCAACAACAGCATACCAATCTAGCACCCACCAAAGAAATCACAACGCACACCACCACAACAACAGCATACACATAAACACACCAATCACAGCTAGAAATACCACCAAAACACCAATACACCACTACATAGCACAACAACAATAATCTATCAACACCACCACCACCAACAACACAGCAACACACCATCATAACGCACCACAACAACACAGCTAGTAAAGGAACCCAATACAGCATACCAACAACCAACAACACAATCACCACCACTAACATCAGCAACCAACACAACAACACCAGCAGCATCACACACCCACCACCACCACAACAGTCAGCAGCAGCCAATAGCAACAGGAGTAACTCCATAAAAGAATACCAACAACAGCAACAACCTACAGCAATACCACCACCAATAACAACAGCAGCACCAACAACAGCAACCACAGCAACATCACCACTAACTCCAACAAACAAAATAATCACTACTAACTCTAACAAACAGAATACCACTAGCAGCAGCGCCTCCACCAATAACAACAGCAACAGAAGCAGCTACTCCACCAGCAGAAGCAAAATCATCCTCAACAACAATACCCACAGCAATACCACCACCACAACAGCAGCAGCACCAACAGCAGCAGCACCAACAGCAGCAGCAACAACAGCAGCAGCAACAACAGCAGCGTACTTACCTGCCGTGTTATCGACCCAGACGAGGGTAACTTGCAGAAGCAGCAGCAGCAGCAGCAACTGCGCTGCCCAACACACAGCTCCTCCAGCACTCCACCACCACATTGTTGGAGGGGCCCCTCACACGGGCACACCTTCCCCTCACCAACCACTACAATAAACAATAGTCTTCAGAGTGTCTCAGGAAGGATATCTCCCTCACTGCTCCTCACCCCCCGCCATGACTGGGTGGGATGGAATTTCGAGTTCTGGGACGGTTTACCTTTGATTCCACGGCTATATTCATTTGGTCAAGATTGTTTCAGTGACACGGACGCTTTCACAAGATTAATATTAGCACTGTAAGCTGCAGCGTTAATAGTTTAAGTTCTATGAAAGAGGGCCCCTAGTAGTCTGCGTGACACTAGCGTGGATCATGTGCCCTGACTTCACGACACATACACATCCACCTCCTGCGGCCCACACACGTGCACTGAGCTGCGGGTACTGAGCTATATACGCAGGGCTACCGAGGGGAAGTTGCCAGCTGCAGCTTGTGTGTGTGTGTGTGTGTGTGTGTGTGTGTGTGTGTGTGTGTGTGTGTGTGTGTGTGTGTGTGTGCTTCTCTGAAAGGAATTCCTGGTAGGAGCGACGGGTGTTTCAGATGGGCCGAGGATTAATGCAGCTGCGCGAGGCTTCCTGGAAGTTTATGCAGTTATTATGTTTTGCTTGCAATCTCTTGACCAAAGGACATTAACGCTAGAATTACCCCACTTTCTCTCTCTCTCCCTCTCTCTCTCTCTCTCTCTCTCTCTCTCTCTCTCTCTGTTTCTGCCTCTCTCTCTGTCTCTGTCTGTCTGTCTCTCTCTCTCTCTCTCTCTCTGTCGCACTCGTAGAAGGTAAAGTATTAAACGACTGTAGAGTAACAAAAGTTACTCGAAAATTCAAGAAGGGTGACAGCTCCCTTTTACGCTACTACAACCATATTGCTCTAACATGGAACTAAGAACCTTCACTTGTTTAACATGGAACTAAGAACATTCACTAGTTTAACATGGAACTAAGAACATTCACTAGTTTAACATGGAACTAAGAACCTTCACTAGTTTAACATGGAACAAAGAACCTTCACTAGTTTAACATGGAACTAAGAACATTCACTAGTTTAACATGGAACTAAGAACCTTCACTAGTTTAACATGGAACTAAGAACCTTCACTAGTTTAACATGGAAACTAAGAACATTCACTAGTTTAAATGGAACTAAGAACCTTCACTTGTTTAACATGGAACTAAGAACCTTCACTAGTTTAACATGGAACTAAGAACATTCACTAGTTTAACATGGAACTAAGAACCTTCACTAGTTTAACATGGAACAAAGAACCTTCACTAGTTTAACATGGAACAAAGAACCTTCACTAGTTTAACATGGAACTAAGAACATTCACTAGTTTAACATGGAACTAAGAACCTTCACTTGTTTAACATGGAACTAAGAACCTTCACTAGTTTAACATGGAACAAAGAACCTTCACTAGTTTAACATGGAACTAAGAACATTCACTAGTTTAACATGGAACTAAGAACCTTCACTAGTTTAACATGGAACTAAGAACCTTCACTAGTTTAACATGGAACTAAGAACCTTCACTTGTTTAACATGGAACTAAGAACCTTCACTAGTTTAACATGGAACTAAGAACATTCACTAGTTTAACATGGAACTAAGAACCTTCACTAGTTTAACATGGAACTAAGAACATTCACTAGTTTAACATGGAACTAAGAACCTTCACTAGTTTAACATGGAACAAAGAACCTTCACTAGTTTAACATGGAACAAAGAACCTTCACTAGTTTAACATGGAACTAAGAACATTCACTAGTTTAACATGGAACTAAGAACCTTCACTTGTTTAACATGGAACTAAGAACCTTCACTAGTTTAACATGGAACAAAGAACCTTCACTAGTTTAACATGGAACTAAGAACATTCACTAGTTTAACATGGAACTAAGAACCTTCACTAGTTTAACATGGAACTAAGAACCTTCACTAGTTTAACATGGAACTAAGAACCTTCACTAGTTTAACATGGAACTAAGAACCTTCACTAGTTTAACATGGAACTAAGAACATTCATAGTTTAACATGGAACTAAGAACCTTCACTAGTTTAACATGGAACAAAGAACCTTCACTAGTTTAACATGGAACAAAGAACCTTCACTAGTTTAACATGGAACTAAAACATTCACTAGTTTAACATGGAACTAAGAACCTTCACTGTTTAACATGGAACTAAGAACCTTCACTAGTTTAACATGGAACAAGAACCTTCACTAGTTTAACATGGAACTAAGAACATTCACTAGTTTAACATGGAACTAAGAACCTTCACTAGTTTTAACATGGAACTAAGAAACCTTCACTAGTTTAACATGGAACTAAGAACCTTCACTTGTTTAACATGGAACTAAGAACCTTCACTAGTTTAACATGGAACTAAGAACATTCACTAGTTTAACATGGAACTAAGAAACCTTCACTAGTTTAACATGGAACTAAGAACATTCACTAGTTTAACATGGAACTAAGAACCTCACTAGTTTAACATGGAACTAAAAGAACCTTCACTAGTTTAACATGGAACAAAGAACCTTCACTAGTTTAAACATGGAACAAAGAACCTTCACTAGTTTAACATGGAACTAAGAACCTTCACTAGTTTAACATGGAACTAAGAACCTTCACTAGTTTAACATGGAACAAAGAACCTTCACTAGTTTAACATGGAACAAAGAACCTTCACTAGTTTAACATGGAACTAAGAACATTCACTAGTTTAACATGGAACTAAGAACCTTCATAGTTTAACATGGAACAAAGAACTTAACTAGTTTAACATGGAACTAAGAACCTTCACTAGTTTAACATGGAACAAAGAACCTTCACTAGTTTAACATGTAACTAAGGCATATGTTTGTAACATGTTAGGAAGATGGTACCATAATAAACTAGATGTACTTCGCTCATTGCTTGTTCCGAGGAAGGAAATATTCACGCATAAAGAATAGCAAAGGGACGTCCTAAAATTCTATTGCAGGAAAATATGAGAACATGTCTGTGCATGTGTACACGTGTGTACATGTGTATACGTGTGTACATGCGTATACGTGTGTACATGCGTATACGTGTGTACATGTGTATACGTGTGTACATGTGTATACGTGTGTACATGTGTACACGTGTGTACATATGTATTCCTGAACAATTCCTCAGTGATTCTTGGCTGGTGGTTCCCCTTGAGCTATGACTTAAAAAAATATCATTGTTCGGTCTTTAGAGAAAATGGTCATTACTCTGAGTGTTTCTTCTCATGTTTATTTCACAGAAACTAAAATATTAATCCTAATAAAACTCGAATAAGTTATTCTCTTGTTAAACGGCACATAGTAGGGGCGTTTCTACGGAAAATAGCTCATATATATAAAAAAGGCACAATACCGCGACTGGAACGATACACAAATAACCAGCACATAGAAGAGAGGAGCTTACGGCGACGTTTCGGTCCGACTTGGACCATTTATGGCAATATAAACACAAATGCAGTATAATGTGATCCTTTATTGACTACGTTTCGCCCACACAGTGGGCTTTTTCAAGTCACAAACAGAACTACCTGGGGTGGAAGGAACGCGAGTATTTATAGTCCGGCTGAGGTCAGGTGAAGAATGCTGCATCTGATGATGTACCGAGTTGGGTTGTAGAGTCTAAAAACTTGGGTAGCTTGGAAAGGAGACTGGACAAGTTTGTGAGCAGACCTTCTACAGTGTCTTATGTGGGATAGCGATGAAGAAGTTTCTTGGCAAGTGGTTCCGCTATTTTTATAGAAGCCACTATTCTGGTTGAAGTTGTCGGATATAGAAATAAGTGATGATTCCAGGATTCTTCGGTATTGAGTGTTGTCTTCTGTGGCGATAAGTCTTGAGTTTCTGTAGTTTATCAAGTGGTTGTGTGAATTACGGTGTTGTACGCAGGCATTCCTTGTGTCGTCAGACCTGCTTGCGTATTGGTGTTCTGAAATACGTGTTTGGAGGTCCCTTGATGTTTCGCCCACGTATAACTTGTTGCAGTCATTACAAGGGATTATGTATACCCCTGCAGGGGATGGAGGCTTGTCCTGCCTACTACGGGTTTGATGTCCTTGAGGGTCGTGGTTGTGGAGGTAGATACTTGGAATGATGTTTTGGCAAAGATGTTGGAAACATGTTTGGCAATGGAGTTGGTGGGAAGGACTATGTATCTCTTCTCGGCAGTGTCTTCTCTGGGTGTGTTGAAGATGTTTAGTGCTCGCCGTCTGCAGTCTCTGATGAAGTGACGAGGATAGTGGAGTTTGGAAAATAACCTGTTCAATTATAGTGCATTCTTCCTCAAGGAACTCGTTGCTGCAGTTTCTGAGTGCACGCAGGAAGAAGCCTATAATTACACCACGTTTGGTTTTGGTGTCGTGGTGAGAGTAGAAGTGGAGAAGATCGTTTTGGTTGGTGGGTTTTCGATAGACTTTAAAACGAAGTTCGTGGTCAGCTTTGCAGAGTAGAACATCAAGGAAAGGAAGAGTGTTGTCGACCTCTTCTTCAAGTGTGAACTGGATTGAAGGCTCGACCTGGTTGAGCTTGTCTTGGAGAGCTTGAACGTTGAAGCGTTTAGGAGTTATGAGGAGAATGTCGTCAACATAACGGAGCCAGGTGACAGACGAAGGAATAATGGTGGAGAAACGTTCGGCTTCTAGATGTTCCATGTATAGGTTCGCTAGGACTGCACTGAGTGGCGAACCCATGGGTAGTCCAAAAGTCTGCTGAAAGAGGTGATTTTCAAAAGAGAAACACGTAAAGCCAACACATAGTTCAACCAGGTCGATGAAGTCGCTGGCTGGAATGGGAAATCAAGTGAATCGTCAATTTTCTTGCGCAAGAGATCGATGGCTTGTTTAGTAGGTACTTTAGTGAATAGGGAAGTCACGTCAAGGCTGGAAAGTTTCTTGTTCCTGATGTTGATGTTGCGAATGCGATTGAGAAGATCACCTGAGTGTTTGAGATGTGCTGGACTGATAGTGCCCAAGAGTTTCGAGAGGTGTTTGGCGAGAATTCCTGAGAGCTTGTGGGGAGCACTGCCTATTCCCGAGGATATAGGCAGTGCTCCCCACAAGCTCTCAGGAATTCTCGCCAAACACCTCTCGAAACTCTTGGGCACTATCAGTCCAGCACATCTCAAACACTCAGGTGATCTTCTCAATCGCATTCGCAACATCAACATCAGGAACAAGAAACTTTCCAGCCTTGACGTGACTTCCCTATTCACTAAAGTACCTACTAAACAAGCCATCGATCTCTTGCGCAAGAAAATTGACGATTCACTTGATCTTCCCATTCCAGCCAGCGACTTCATCGACCTGGTTGAACTATGTGTTGGCTTTACGTGTTT